CGTGCATTCCCCCCCGCGGTGCATTTGCCACTGCCATGCATTCACCACCGTGCATTCACCACCGCCATGCATTCACCGTGCATTCACTGTTGTTGTGCATTCACCACCGCCATGCATTCACCACCGCCATGCATTCACCATGCATTCACTGTCGCCATGCATTCACGACCACTGTGCATTCACCACTGCTGTGCATTCACCATTGCCGTGCATTCACCACTGCCATGCATTCACCGTGCATTCACCACCACCGTGCATTTACCACTGCCATGCATTCACCGTGCATTCGCCACCACCGTGCATTCACCACCACCGTGCATTTACCACTGCCATGCATTCACCGTGCATTCGCCACCACCGTGCATTCACCACCACCGTGCATTTACCACTGCCATGCATTCACCGTGCATTCACCACTGCCATGCATTCACTGTGCATTCACCACCACCGTGCATTCACCACTGCCGTGCATTCGCTGCCACCGTGCATTCGCCATGTGTTCACCACCGTGCGTTCGCCGCCGCCGTGCATTCACCTCCTTCCTCTCTGTCCCCCATTTTCCTGCAGGCAACGGCTACGTGAGTGCCAGAGCCTCTCCAGGTCTCCTTCCCGTCTCCAACGGCAGCAGCCTGGGCAAGATCATCCCGGCCAAGTCCCCGCCGCCGCCCTCCCACGGCACGCAGCTCGCCGCCAACAGCCGCAAGCCGGATTTACGCGTGATCACCTCGCAGAGCGGGAAGGGGTTAATGCACCATTTGGTGAGTGCCCACCAGAATTCCGGGAGACCGGGATGGGTCTGGGGCAAACTGGGGGCAGGGTGAACTTGGCAGGGTGGGAGCTGGCTGGGGCCGTGCCGGCGGGGGGATCGGAGGCGGAAGGCTTGGCATTCCCGTTTGCCCCGTGCTGGGTGCCAACATCACGGTGCAAAGCCGGTAGCGCAGCGCAAAGCCCCGCGGCGGGCGCACCCGTGTAGTCCGTCCACGCCGTGCGTGGCCCCGGTGCTTGGCGAGGGCGC